AGGACAGACGTGAGGAAAACTAAAAGCGTACATATGTATTTTTCTGCACGTATGTGCTTATAATTATTTACTGTCCGCGCACACAAGGGCACTCGTTAAGAAGAGAAACTCACCGTCAGCAAAAATTCGTTATCAAGAGCTTATTAAAAAAAAAAGAAGCAACCGAGCAAGTATATATATATGCCTCTGTTCTTCTACAGAGCCATATGATATTTGTAACACATATTGACCTGCATTTGTCCGGCACGGTCGGGGCCATTTTTTTTTTCTAATTGTTTGCCTATTGCAAACCAATGTCACTTTCAAGGTGGAAACAATTCAAGAAAAAGAGAGTAAATTTTCAAATGTCTTGGCAGGCTTATATCGATGACAGTCTTATCGGCAGTGGGTACATGCACAGTGCAGCAATTGTTGGGCTGTCCGATGGGAGCTACTGGGCCTATGGAGGAACCTACATCCCACAGCCCGACGAGGTTGCCCATATATTGAAGTGCTTGGATAATTTTTCCCTCGTGCAATCTTCCGGTGTGACCATTTATGGTGTGAAGTTTTTTGGTCTTCAGTGTGGTACCGATGGTGAAATGAAATACATATTTTTGAAGAAGGGTGCTGCGGGTGGATGCATATATACCTCGAAGCAGACAGCCATTATTGCCATCTATGGGAATCCTGGGGAGTCTTCCTCCCTTCAACACGACCTTGAAAAGAGGGGAGGCGCGGACGTTGCAGTCAATCCAGCCGACTGCAACTCCACAGTGAAAAGAATTGCCGAGTATCTTATCAGTTTGGATTACTAGGAGGTGTTGCTGCGAGGAATATGTTACCATTTCTAACTAGCCGAAATCTTTTCTTTTTGGTTCTTTTGTCGTAAGTTTTTTTTCCTGCATGTGTGTTTTTTTCTGCCTTTTTTTTTCTTTCTTCGATTGCTGTCCTGATTGTTCATCCCTAGTTGATACCCTTTCTTGTCTACTATGTGCTGAGTGTGAGATGCGTTTTTTCTGTAGTTCTTTTTTTTAGTCCTTTTTTTTGAGTAGTTTCATCTATTAGATGTTAATGTGCTGTTCTGGAGGAGATCTGCGCTGCCCATGCGGGAGTACTGTGTGCACCGGATGCTCAAGATTTTGTATGGGATGTAACCAGCTCGTTTGTGTCAGATGCATACCACCTGGATTGACCCACTGCAAGAGTTGCTGTTCGGCATTCTTTCGCAACACTCGTCGCCATTTGTGATTTGGGTGCCACACGCCACGTTTACTCCGTTGGTTCCTACAGTGCTAAA